GTTGAGAACTGTCTGACGTAGTCCCGTATGTTTCCAGTGTGTTTCAGGGCTACTATTTTCTCCATTGCTATATGCCCTGCGTTTTCGGGGAGGAATTGTTCCCTCAACTCTCTCTTGAGGTCCTCCCATTGAGTCGATGGTGCACAATCCATCCTCGATGTCTTGCACCTTCGTACGCCACCACTGTTTGGCATCGTCTACGAGATACATCGCGGCTACAGTCACCTTCTTGTTGTCGGTACAAGCAGTTGTGGCTTTGAAGTACTGTTCGACGTCAAAGAAGAAGTTCTCCAACTCTTTGGCATCTCGATTCCCTTTGAAGGCTCTAGGGTCTGGGAACCTTAGTTTGTTGGATCCTGTATTAGTTTGTCCAGCCGCGACACCTTCCACGGCTTTCATGGTAATTTCAATTCGAGTGCTCATGGCGGCCATCCTTTCTTGGAGGTCGTCGACTGTTGTTCTGAATTCATCAACCAATCCATTGAACAAACTCATCATTGTGTTTTGTAGTACGCCGAACTCTTCGCCACGTCCCTCTTTGTGTGCGACAGAGCTATCCGGACTATCAGACGGTTTTGGGCTGCTCGTAGGAGCAACTCTTTCTTCGAGTGAGGTCACTCGAAACAACAGTTCTGCGATTGGCAACCCATCCAGGCGGTTGCCCATTGCGTCAACTTGGACGACTTTCTCACTCAGTTCGGTCACCCGTGTTTCCAGGAAACGGAGGGTGTCAGGGACTTCTTTGAGGAACAGCATTTCCTCCTCTATTAGCGTAAGCCGGTCGGCTTGTGCTTTGGGTGTCGACTTTGTTGTCGACATGATCTCGGTCTGTATGACGTTACGGAGCTAACAAAGCTCTGATACCACTTGACACAATCGCGCTTTCGAAGGCAGCGGACTAGCGATTGTGCGGCACTCACTTTCCAGCGACAAGTGAGTTAAGCCTATTTGTTCTTGCGTCGCCTACGGCCAAGCGACGTACGGTCGAGCCTCTAGCCTCGGTTTTAAAAGAAGGTTTTAGAAAACGAGGAGAGAGAGAGATTTTAGAAAGAGACGTTATATAAGCAAGCAAGAGAAAGATAACAACGGCTTAGCATATATAACCTTGGGTAGGGAGAAGTTGATGACTAGTCATATCCCCTATAGTACATTCTGGGCCATTTTAGTTCTGGCAGGCCTAGACATGATATTTTTGAGGTGTCATACGCTTTAGAATTAAAAAAGGAAAAACACTAGAATGAAAAGACATGACAAGGGTTTGGCTTGTCATGGGCATGCGGCCATGGGCAACATGCCCTGGACAAGCATGACCGTGACACACAGGATTATTCAAAAGCAACATATTTGTTAAAACAGGACGTAATTTGTCAACCCATAATGGACGTAATTTGTCAACCCATAATGGCATAATCGAGTTAGGATGTGCCAACCCTTTCTCTTAACGTGCACATGATGGGTAGTGAGGCTAAAAAAGACCAGAAGCTGGAGGACGAATGTAAGAAAAGATATTTTATATCTTCGATGTTATTCTTAATATCAAAGTTTGTCTTATAATATACACCATTTCAGTGGGGGAATGATTTAATCAACAAATAATAATCTTAATTGAATTAACATATAATATTTTATATTAAAAAATAAAAAATCTGGATTTTTTTTTTTTTTGTTGGTATGAATAATGAACGGAGAATCCCAGGATCTTATTTGCGTCTTCTTCGTCGTTCCCGAATTTCTGTTTCAACTATAAACACAGTCGCTGTGATGTTATCCATGGTGGTTCGGCTTCAGCCCAACGTTAATTTCTGTCTTTATACCTCCAATTTACCTGTGTCCCCATTCCGTTACTTCCAAATAGCTGCTTCCTCTGCTTCAGAATGCTTGTTGCTGATGATTCCGACTCCAATTCCTCTTCTGGTATGATTCTTCCGTTTATCACAGTAAGGAATTAGTAAGTTGACATAAATGTTCGTTTTGTTTGCTTGATCGGGATTGTCTGAAATTTGGGGAATTTCGTTCATCGAGTAGTGTTATGATCCCTACGAACAACGATACGAATTACTTATTTTGTTTGAATAACCTAGAAGATATGTTCTAATGAGAATGTTGATGTTGATTTTCATGAATGCCTAAAAGATCAAGAAATTTGAAATGAACGTCTGCAAAATCGACGATTTCTTCATTATTGTATTGTGCTCGAATAGAAATCTCGAAAAAAACATAATGTTTACATGTCTGCTCTACCAAAATTGATTGAATAGAAATTAGAAGCTATTGATTGTATACTTCATGTCTGCTTCCGATCTAGGGATTTCAGCAAAATCAAGTTGAAATATGCTATGAAATTTACTTTGATTCCTCAACTCTGATATCCTCTTCTGAAATTTTGTTTTTACTTACAACTTCATCTTCTTTACTCATTAACTTGTCACTTTCTGGCTCATTGTGGCTGATTGAATTTGGTTTAGATGATGATGATTGCTCCTTCAGATTGCTAACATCTGAATCCAAATTCGGATCAGACAACATAATTTCTTTGGCTGGTTCTTCTGGGAATTCTTCTTGATTGCTTTCTGCTGCGTCTTGATCTTCATATTCTGAACTGCAACTTTCAAGCTCATCAGGATTAATCTTGGGTTCATGAGAACTCTCCAAATCGGAGTTTCTTTCCTCTATATGAATATCCTGTGATTCAGATCTTGAAAGTTCGATCGCTGCTTTAGCTGCTAATGCTGCATAAGCTGCTGATTGAAAGGCTTCTTTAGCGGCACTAGCTGCATCTTTAAACTTCTTTTCTCTCACTGATTCTGATGCTATCTCCTCACTCATAATAACTTCATGTGGATTATCTGTGGTGTTCATGACTTCTGGGTTATCTAAGTCTGCTGATTTCTTGGTTTCCATCTTCTGGTTTACCTTGATGACTATTGCAGGTTCTTCCTCTAAATGCAGAGTTATGCCATTCTCAGAAGCGATTTCCTTTAGAACTTTCAGTTTAGTTTCAGCGTTGGGCTGCTTTGTTGAAAACTTTTGGATCATCTGTAACATGGAAGCTGTGAGATACAAACATGTTGATATCAAACACGCATGTAGGCAACTAATATCAAACTCACCTTGGGACTAACTCCACAATTGTTGCGTAAATTAACGGCACTGCTAGCAAACTCTTTCCCGAATTTCAGCTCGAAAATCCGACGAATCTCCTGGAGTTCGGGAAACTCTCCAAACCTTGAAGATGCAAAGATCAGACTTGATATTGCCTCCTTAACTTCACCAGGGCATTCCCTGCATTTAAGCCAAAAGAGAATCAGGAAAGATTTGGTTTGGTTTCATTTAAAAGGGCTGCATTCAAAGAGATGGCCTACTTGTTCATTTGAAGTAGAGCCACTTTTTCTATGAGGAGGGAACAGTAATCCTCTATCATTCCAAGTGCATCCATCATGTTATTCTCCTTGATCACAATCTCAACCTGTTCATTCACATCCAAGCTCAGCAATTAAAAAAAGAGGAGAAGGGGCTGAACTACAGAGTTTAGAGGAGAAGCAAATTACTCTAAGCTGAGCGCGGTGTTGGTAACTGAGGTTCAAGAGCTGAAGAACGTCGGCCCGGGCAAGGGAGCAGCGAGCACGGTGCTGGTTTTTAAGGATGGCAGTCCTGGAAATGGCCATGTTTACAAGGATTTTGATCTTGGAAGGCTTCAAATATCTGTTCCTTCCCAGTAGAGCATCCAGTTTCCTTCCCATGATTGAAAAAACTTGAACTTTTTTTGCTGCTTGTTTGTCCCTGAGAAGCTCTTGAATGAGGTACTTTTTTGTTCTTGCTGAGCTTCTATATGTTATATAGGGAATTGGCTGCCTTTTCTTGACTCTGAAATGGTTGTGAAATAGTGAAGTTTCCAGGCTTTGAATGGGCCAAAGAGAATTGACCGTGGTTGAATGGGCCAATAAGGTACTTCGGTCGAAAAAATGGGAAGCTTCTGAGGTATTATGCTCATGTCCACTTCATGCCATTATGAATTGCTTCTTCATTCAATTGGTTAAAGGTCCCTTTTAACAATAAGAAATTTCATATAACATTCTTAAGCGTGTTGAATGAGTTTCAAAAGATGCGTAGTGTTTCGTTTGGACATGCTTTAGAAAAAAAAAACGCTTTGCTTAGTTCTTGTCTATGAACGACCCGTCTGTTAATCCGTTTCTTTTGTCTTGTTTCATATTATGATTTGGTTTATTAGATGAATTATTTTAAGTTTTAGCATGTAATGTTCAAATTGACGTTCTTAATCCCTATAATTTGAAAAAAATGTTCGAAATATAATTGAATGAATGTTACATTTTTTTTTTTTACTAATGTATAGAAAGGGTTGACAGTGGGTCCAATTGTTATACCACACGGAAACAATTGTATTTGTTTTGACTGACTTGTTCCAACTTGCCAATTTAAAATTTAACTATATTGACTAAAATGTCAAAATTTTAAATTTCTTACCCTACTTTTTGAACTAAAAAATAAGTATATTTTATTGCTGCCATTTTTTTTTTATTATTATTATAAGTTGCGTTTTCACGTGAATATGAGCATAACTTAATGAATAAATATACTAATAATTATACTTATAATTATTATTAAACGGAAAAAAATATCTTTTATAGAATATGTTATATTTATTATCTAAACTTATATGAGGGGAGCATATAATATCTAAACTTAAAAGACTTTTATGGATCATACTATAAATAATTTGTTTACTTTTATTATATTTATATAATATAATTTGTGTACTGTAAAGCATAGTAGGTTTTCAGACAATTTGGCAGCTCATTACCTAACCCAATTGGCAGTTATCTATGGCCCAGGCCCAGTCCCAGGCCCAGTACCAGGCCCATAAAAATAAAGAAGCCCTACAGGCTACCTGCTAGCACAACGGACATCACCGTTCATTTCACGATTCGCAAATACCCAAAGCAAAGCCCCGCCAGTTGACGACGATCACCCACAGCTCACGTTGAGTATTTTCCATCCCAGCCGATCGACGGCCCCGCCCACCGGATCGGTAAGATTGTTCTTCTATTTTGTTTTTGATCTTGAGGGGTATCAACTTTCTACTTGACTCTTCCCTCTCTCCACGAATTGGTTAGGTTGAGCAGTTGAATGTTTATATGTTTACTCCCTCTTCAAGTTCTTTGATTTCTGCTCACTGTACTTCTCCATTCTCTTTCAAGTGTTATAGTTTATGTCGTAGCCCCCTCCCCTTCCTCGATTTCAGTGGTTTGAGTCATGCTAGTATAAGTTTAATGTGGTAAATTTGGCTGTGGATAAATAATTGGTATTGGGGTTCTTCAATCTATAAATGTTGGTTTTGAGGCAATTGTTTTCACTTGCTTCTTTCACAGATCTTCAAATGAAAACAAAAATGGGAATTGATCTTTGATACTCTTAATCATCTGCTCAAAAGAGAAACCAACCGAACTGACACCGGTTCATTTTAAATACTAAGCAAAAGAGATCTCGTTTGGTTTGCTTTGAACATATAAGAATCCAAATTGCAATGTTCTGTTTATAGTTTTGAGAAAATAAATTCACTGATAGAGATTTTCAGGGTTAAGTTGGAATCAATTATGCTTTCATTATAGTTTTGGAAATTTGGAAATATAGAATGGATTCGACCCAAAATTTGATACACTTCTTTCTCTAAGATTCTTAATGCAGACTCTCTAACAAGTCAGCCATGGAGAAAGTAAAAGAAAGCAAAGTCACGAAGAACAAGGATGATTTGGACAATCATGATGATGCTTGTTGGTGGTCGATTCATAAAGGAGTGAAAGCTATTTTTTTGTCCATATCTTTGTTTGCTTTGCTGGTTCGAGTGGCAGTCTCCCTTCATCCTTACTCTGGTGCGGGAATCCCTCCGAAGTATGGCGACTATGAGGCACAGAGGCATTGGATGGAAATCACCATCAACCTTCCAGCTAAAGACTGGTATCAGAACAGCACCACCAATGACCTCAGCTATTGGGGACTTGATTATCCACCCCTTACAGCCTATCAGAGTTACATTCATGGTCTATTCCTCAAGTTGTTTGATCCAGAGTCAGTTTCACTGTTTACTTCGCGAGGTTATGAGTCCTATTTTGGGTGGGTATGCTTCTATTTTGCATCTTTTGATAAATCAATTTCTCTTCTTTTCGTTTTTCAAACTCTATGACATTTTGAGTTTCCTATCTTGTTGGTTTTTTGCAGAAAACTTCTTATGAGATGGACGGTTTTATCCTCTGATGTGCTGATTTTCTTTCCTGCAGTTTTATATTTTGTTCTTGCATATTCTAGCAATAACTCCAGCTTCCGTAAAAGTGATCTAGCATGGCAAATTGCAATCCTTCTCATCAACCCGTGTCTCATCTTAATTGATCATGGCCATTTTCAGGTTTCTACTTATATCATAGCTATGTTTTCCACGGATTTTCTTATTTTTTGTTTAAATTTTGAAGCAGGCTGGTTCTTCACCTTTTCTCCTTTGTCACAGTATAACTGTATAAGCTTGGGCCTCACTGTGGGAGCTATTGCTGCCATATGTACGGATAAAGATCTTGTGGGCAGTTTCCTATTTACTCTTGCTCTGAATCATAAGCAGGTACGTTTCAACTTTCTCATCCCTAAGGATTACCTCTTTATTTCTTGCTCTAAACTGCTTCTTATTGTGCGATGAATAGTGAACACATATAATTTTTGTGTTGATAACATGTATGGTTCAATTTATGATGGCTTGGTCAAGAGGTGTCTTATATGTTGATCTGGCATATTAATTCAGTAGAATAATACATAACATATGCATCTGGAATTATCTCACATTTTCTCATCAGGTATAAGTTCACTGTACAGTTTTTTTATCTAAATTTGGTTCAACTAATTTTTAGGTCATGAACGTGAGGACAGTATCAAATTTAATAGTTGAAATTTTTGTGTAGTTACCTTAACTAGAGCGAATGCTAAAGCTACTTGATGTCTTGCAGATGAGTGCATATTTTGCTCCAGCATTTTTTAGCCATCTCCTGGGGAAATGTATGAGGCGTAGAAACCCCATTGCGGAAGTGTTAAAATTGGGTTTGGTGGTCTTAGGAACGTTTGCAATTATTTGGCTGCCTTATCTTCATTCAGTTGATGCCGTTTTACAGGTACGAGGAAACGTCCAATAACATAATCATTGTTAGTCGCTCTGTCAGTTTGCCTTCAAGTGTCAATACAATGTTCTTCATCCAGATTAAAGAAAACTTTTGTTTAGTCTTTCTTTCATAAAAAAAGTGGGCTGAAGAAGGGCTTCAACTGCTATACATTTGTATCAAAAGAGACATTATGCATTGTCCTCCTATAGCATAATAAAACACATCGGTGTCCTATTTATCTTCTCAAATTAAAGTTGCAATATGTATTTGGTGGGTACTAAAATCAAATCATCGTTTCAACCACTGTGAATTCAGTTCCAAAAACCTGGAGGATTTTGAAAACATTCTTGAACCAGCGAGGCAGGAATAACACACGGCTTACGATTTGTAATGGAGTTGCTCTAACAATACAATCTTACATGTTGGTAATACAATATTCTTGGACCAGCTAGGCAGGAAGGAAACACAGGCTTCAGATTTGTAGTGTAGTTTCTCTAACAATACAGTCTTACACGTTGGTAGTACCATATCTTACATCCAGATTTTGCTATTATTTTTTGTGTGGTTTATGTTAGCATCCACTCTGTTTTTTGAAGTTTAATCCAAGTCTGGATGGCTTAGGTTCTATCACGTCTTGCTCCCTTTGAGAGAGGATTATACGAAGATTATGTGGCGAACTTTTGGTGTACCACATCTGTCCTTATTAAGTGGAAGAGGTTTTTTTCAGTAAAATTACTGAAATTTCTCAGCTTCACTGCTACACTGTCTACTTGTTTACCTTCCATGATTCAACAGATTCGTTTCCCAAGTAAACAGGGGTTTCTACATGGCCTTCTATGTAGTTCTTTCTCATTCTACCTGTTCTCGTTTCAAGGTACTTGAACTCTCTCCTCTTTTTCCTCTCTCCTCATGTGTTAGGATGATATTAGCATGAAGATAGTCTAATTTTTACCGCCTCTGAATAACATTGCAGTGCATGAGAAGTCTGTTCTTCTGCCTCTTCTTCCTGCAAGCATGTTGGCTCTGGATGAACCTTCATTATTTATACATTTTCTGCACTATGCATTGCTTTCAATGTTTCCTCTTATAGTTCGAGACAAACTGGTTCAAGCATATCTTGCCATTTATGCTCTTACCTTCCTTATTATCAATGCATCAAATAAAGGGCAGCGAAAAGGGCGAGCATTTCAATCTGCGAGGGTCTTATTTGGATTCTTTCTGTTTTGTTCGCTTGTTCTCCACGTTGTTTACTTGGTGGTGCGCCCGCCTGAGAGGTACCCTTTTCTCTTTGAGGCAGTAATTATGCTTCTTTGCTTTTCTCAATTCACCTTCCTTGCGGTCTTCTCCAATATAAAGCAATGGACGCTGTCTAAAGATGTTCAACCGATGGACAAGCAGAAGCTTAATTAATCTGCTATGCTTCTTAGTTACAACCTGTGACTTTACACTTTTGTTTTCTTAACCTAGAACAGATTATCTTCTGCTTATTTAGAACCGAAGGAACTGGGCAGCGGCCCTACAGTAGTTCATTTTTATTTTATTTTATTTTTTTTTGTAGTTGATGAAGGTACAGTTTCCAGGGAAGCTATTTTTACCATTTTCATGTTTCTTTTCATCTCTTTAAGT